TCTTTTTTTCGGCTTGTTTTCACCGACTGCGAAAGAAATGCATCTTCAGCAACGCAGTGGAGCTGCAGAAGATTCATCATTTGTCGATTTCGAATCGACTAAATTTTTGTTTTTTTTTTTTTATCTGACTCGTGTCCCTTAAATATCGGGAAGCTAGCAGATCAGGAGTTATTTATTACCCACAAAAACCGGATACAGCAACGGATACAGCAACAACGAGTTACCAGCGCATCGGAGTTTGAGGCCAGTTGGCTTAATTCAGTTTCTATAATCGTCACCTCGAAATAAAATAGGCAACGCAGAGGCTCCCAGTGTAAGAATAGAGAAACGTTAGGACTTTCTGACGATTCAGAAGGGCATAAAAGATACAGTATTTGTTTGGTTCGTGCAAAGAAGATCTCTAGCCGGCGTTTGTTGATTCCGAGCAATTAAGGAGCAAGAAAAGCCTCTTGTATGAAGGAATGGCTCATCTAATTAGTCGGAGCAGAAATAATAGCCTTACGTTTATCTTAATCACATTGGAGGTGTACATGTGATGACTTGGAACGCACCTGCCATGCTCGGGTCTCAACATCCGATGACCTGTCCCAGCCGAATCATACCTTTTCTTGACCTTAGCATAACCATCCTTTATCTTGCTGTTCTGCATGTGCTGATGCGATCTTAATATTTTTCGTACTTGCAGTACCGTATAACGTACAAAGCGCTGAACTTCAAACATATGTCTGGGAATTTAACGGTAAAAATTCTTGGAGTTTAGCACGGTCGAAGATGCTAGGATTCCAATAATTTTTTGGGTTACAGGTCACATTTTGCACGGCATACGATCAACTGGAGAGGGAAAAATTATCTTTTAAGGCTTAAAAGAATTTAAAAATTGTCTTTCTCTAAAAGTACTTGGCTGTTCGAAATCTAGGGGAAATCGTAGGCAAGGAGAGCTAGAAGGGGCTAATTTGCGAAGGAACTAATTTGCTACCTCGGCCAGCTGTTTTTTCGCCGTTGCATTTCTTTTCACGATTAATGTTATCGACAGCTTCAGACCTTTTCCATTACAGTTTTCTTTCTTCCACATAATCCCAAACAGCTGTCTAATCGATGCTTTCACCACACTGGTGGCCTTTCCCAGGTTCTTTTAGTACTGCTTGAGTGCTCTCCAGTTCTTGACCTGAATTAAAGTAAATGTGTACTTTTCAGCTAAAATGGCACGCAAAATTGATAGGGTGAACAGCCGGAACAATCTTTTCAAGCAGCTATTCGGTCACTTTTCACTTAGGTCAAGAACCCAGCGCACTTCGGCATTTCAATGTGAATGGTCATTTATTAGTGTTTCTGTTACAGTACGGCGATGACGAGATGTTGGGAGCAGCAAAACGAAGCAACGCAGAGCTTATCAATGGCCTGATCGGAATGGACCTTGGCAGACTGGCCAGAGCTGGCAAAAGGAGTCCACCACTGACAAAGAGGAACGCCGAGCTAATCAATGGATTGTTGGGGATGAACCTGAACAGACTATCAGCAGTCGGGCGACGTTAGCAGTGAGTGCGTTTGTCTTTATTTACAGACGCATAAAAACTCGAAAATTGTGATGAATAGTTCGATTCTCTCTCGATCCAACTACTGCAAAATAGCTCTTTTACGATACATGCTGTGATAAATAGGTTTTGATAAAAAAATCGAATAATTTTCTCTATTATTACAAATATTATCTTCTAAATACAGCTAACCAAAGCGTTAGCCAGTAATTCCCTTAAAAACGAGGAAACAGAGCGAGACGTTCTAAAAGAATGCTATTAAAAAATATATATTTGGAATATTTTGGTCATTTTTAACTTGCTTTGACCAGTGCTGCATCTTTTGGTGGTCAGCATACTGCTGGTGAATTGAAGGAAGGAAGTTGTTAATGCGTTGTTATTATACAATTTATATAGAGTTGTCTTGTTAGGAGGTATTATCATAAGCGCACATAGTTCGAGTTTTATTTCAAAGCTTCACGTTTCTGTATTTCATCAATTATTAAACTATCACAGCAACATGCTCGAAGTGATTAGCTTTTGATTAGCTGAGAAAGAGTAGTAGGAAAAGTCCGGAAATCTGGTATTAGGATATACTACTTGCTAAAGAATCTAAGTGAGCTAATGATCACCGGACGATTGGTTAGTTGTATTTAGAAGATAATATTTGTAATAATAGAAAAAATTATTCGATTTTTTAATCAAAACCTATTTATCGCAGCATGTATCGTAAAAGAGCTATTTTGCAGTAGTTGGATCGAGAGAGAATCGAACTATTCATCACAATTTTCGAGTTTTTATGCGTTTTTTGCAGCTATGCAGTGCAGAAAACGCATATTGACGAGAGGTTGTCGGTGTGTGTTTGTCTGTATGTTCGTCTGTGCCGATTTTTCATCTCGAGACCTACAAAAGCTACAGGGCTGAAATTTTGGAAGCTTAATCTACATGCATGTACGGGTAGTCATTCCCAAAATGGGCGCTCTTATCCACGTGATTCCCACGTACGGGTCCGCCGATGCTTTTTTTTCCAGATAACTTTCTAACTCGTGAACCAGAGAAGCTAGAAAGCTGGAACTTTAAGGAGGTGTTTCCCGTCCAAGTAGGTATTAATGAATTCAAACCCAGCCCTTGGGTATTCGTGGTCCCACGTACGGGTCCATGGAAGTTTTTTGCGGGCAATTTGCTAACTGGGGAAACTGAGAAGTTAAAAGACTGGAATTTTAAAGGGATGTTTCCTGACAGTCCTGGCAGCCAGTCTCAATTCGTTTAGCTAGAGGCATCTGCAGAAAAAACCGGTGCCGATAGTGACAAAGACCTGCGGGGAGCTGTGCAAAAAACGTCTCTTTGCGCCGGCAGTCGGTGCGCTGGCCATCAATTTGAATAATGGTCGTTAATCACTAAACTACTGACCCTTGTAATTACCTCTCATTGGAAAAACACTTAAATCAATTATGTCAAAACCCACACATATGTTCACTATAGTGTTTAGCTGCTTTTTTAAAAGCACCATGCACTTTTCACAGTTTCTGTTGGTTTTTCACGGCTACCCAAGATTTATCTGTCATTAAAAAGGTGCAGCAGCTAGAGAACTACGAAACTTCCCTTTGCAAATTTCATTTTGTCGGCTATTGACCACTTTCTAGTTAATTGTCCGCTAATAGTGGACATGGTTTTTTTTTGGAGTGGCGTGGACAGTGAATCCTCAACTCCTCTTCCTGGAAACCGAAGTACTTGAACCTTCGTTCATGACGTTCGCGTCCAGCAGCTGCTCCCACACATGGCACATGTTTTTCTAATTTTCGATGTTTTTCCGTGGGTGTCCCCAGCAAGTGTTGCTTCACTATTGCAGCTGGCAACCTTTCCATGGTTAACGTAATCCGAAGTTTTGCATCACCTGCCGCTGATGGTGGTGGTTAGCCTGCTACCTGTTTCCTCGTTTTCTGAGAAAATTGCTTTTATCGCTTGATATTAGCTGATATTGTAGAAGCATCCGCATAAAAATGACCGAAAGCACTGGCGCATCTAAAAACATTGGCTCTGAATGGGACAGAATTAAAGCTTAGATGATAAGAACTGATAATATCAGTGTTAAGAGGAAGCAAATGCTTTCAAGCTTAGCCACGGCACTCTTAATCAGCAGTTGTTTTGCTCAGCGCATTAAAGATCGATTCAGTGACGTAGTTAGGGCGAAGAGTAGCCCCGGCATTGCATTAAAAAAAGGCGACGAAGTAGTTTCGAGGAAAAGAAGTGAAAATTAAATTACAAATAACAAAGGCTAGAGAAAATGGAACACAATTTAGTCAGCGGCCTCAAAAATGTACCAAAGTGGAGCAAAATTTAGCTGAAAGGGTACAAGGGCTAATCCCGTGGGGCATCCAAATCAGCTGATGAGTGCGAAATAAGGAAACGCAAAATCTACCACTTAGTACTTAAAAACAAATAAACTTGAGAAAACAAACAGGAGAAAAAATGGCAGAGTTATGGTCAATAATCGTTATCTTGGTTAACTGTGTTGATGTTACTGGGAATTTCTTAAATGCTGAGCGCCGCTATGCTTAGACCAATGTTATGAAGTAATATGCCAAAACTATCGTCTTGAGCTTGTTGCCTTTTATAAAGTACTGAGTTAGGCGTCAATGTATTTGTGAGGGATATGCAGCTTTTTGCATAAGTTAAATCTTTCAAACGTTACGTTGCGCGGGGAATTGAAATAGCCCCAGATTATAAAATTGTGGGACGAGAAGAGTCTCATTTCTTGTGCATGAAAGTGCCAGTGCTGTTTGTATGAAAACCAGGAGCAGTCATCCAAGGTCAAGAGTCCGATTGTATCCTTGTTCCTCGTAGCTGCTTGTATAAAAGATGACGGTGTTGCTTTCAGTGTAGCATTCTCGCCATTATAAATAAATTATATAAAACCCATTTACGCCAAAAATTAAAGGCTCTCCGTATTCGCTCTCCAAAAAAGGGTGTTTACTGTAGGAAGTACAGTATAAAGGTCATCGGCACGCTGGGTTGGGTACACCAAATGTCTGTCTTATAGGATTGCTAGAAAGGCACATATTTTAATGTATAGGTAAGTTTGCAGTCTGCGTTTTATCCCTTAGCTGTAAACACAGACAGTGCATCTGATACGAGTAGAAGTGGGAATCATCAGTACAGCCTCCTACCCGCCAACTATGAAAAAGACAGGTAAAATAAGCACGACAAGTGGAGTAGAATTGGACGGAGAGCACAAAGCTGTTGTAGAATGAAAAGTTGCCAGTTGTTTCATGCTATATGGATTAATAGTTGTTCCAAATGCATGCGCAATTTATGTAAAAATTTTTTTGAAATATGCAAAAATTCAGTGACGGCTGTAACTTATCAAGTGATAACCGCTAATTTCAGGTTTCTATGATTGGGTGAAGTGGATGAATGTGTGCGCGCCGTGCAAAGGATGGATTTGCGTTTACAGAATCACTCACTGTTGTACAGAACTGTGTGTTTTTATTATCTTTGTTGCATTACTTCGATACGCTGCTGCTGCTGCTGATGTTCGGTGCTCCCTTTTCCCTTTCCTTCTCTTCTTTCGGGATGGAAATCCGTGCTGCTGCTGTTGCTCCTGTGCCCCTTCTCCTCCTCCTCCTTCGTATTCGGATTGTACAAGCTAAAAGCATCACCGCTTTTCAGTACAATTATGTATAATGGCAGTATAATATTATAAACAGATGGCGTTGTTTGCATTTGCATTGCACCCAATTATGCAATACAAATTCATTGATGGCGATCAACCAGGCGTCTACTGTTGTCCTCGCAATTAGCTCGTCCATATTTCTCACCAGCGCAATAACTAACAACGGAGAGATAGAGAGAGGCTGAAATTGAAGACCGAAACGAAATGTCCTCAATTTAAAGCCTGAGGGTGATTAGGACAATGATGATGATGGTGATGGCGATTAAGGCCGTAATAGCGATGATGATGCTGGACAAGGTCAAAAAAACAGAAAGCTGGTCCGTGGAAGCTGCTGCTCCATAAAAAGCATCCTGCATTTTTCCAGACATCCAATTTTTACGGCATCGTTTATGCACTAAAAACAACACTACCAAGCATTTCCCTGCAAATGCGCATATTTAAGATCTAATAGAACCATTTTATATGATTATATGCGCGTGTGTGTCTGTGCTTGTGCATGAGTATGTATGTATATATGTATGTGCACTTGTTATTTCTGCAATAAGGAGGAATATTTAGGGGGCAATAGAAGTAGTGAAGATTAAAGGAA